AATTATACAGTATCAAATTGTCGACTCGACTGTCTGTGTACCTACACTGATTACATCATACACATGACATAACACAAATTACTCCCAGATTTGATTATTTAATATCAATAGCTGTATTAACGAAAAATTACGAGTAAATATACTGAAAAAAGTTCCTCTACTAGTTTCGAGTCACAGAGGGACTCTTGCTCATGAGCAGTATACAGTATACGTGGTCGCGGCGATGTCGCGCAGCCTACCCTACCTAGCTATTATAAAAATATCAACAGCTGCATTATTATTACTTATGTACAGTTTATTATTCTTACTTATTATATTATACAATTTGACTATGTATTTTATGTAGTATATATGTATGTATGTATGTTCTATGTGCACATTTCTATTTCAGCGAGTATAACCGGTTTCCCGGTGTCACACACCAGCGGCCAGTTTTTACACTTGAGGTCACTGTTGAAAGGTTCGATGCTTGAGTGATACACCTAACACAAAGTATAAACTAGACTTTATGTAACAGCTTAATAAGGCCCTTTATAATACACTAACTTAATAAAAGCGTGTTTAAATGTACATATTTCTTTCCATAAGAAGTAACCAAATAACATACAGGCTCCTAGTTTTCTGATCTATTGACTCGTTTAATATTAAAATGATAAATGGTAATCTAAGTCAAGGTGCCGATAACTTCGTTATAACCTGAATATTAATAACTTGGACTTCTTAGTCTCGAGGGCGTTGCACTGTGCTCCCACTAATCCCATTGCTGGTCAAAATTGAGCAGTAAATGAGTGTAAAATAATGCAGGTACTTTTTTCGAGTGTTTCTGTATTGTAGCCTAGAATCCACTGTAACAACAATATAAGCATTATTACTGAGTGAGTGACTGACAGCCAGAATTATTTATTGAAGAAATTTAATTATATATACCCCTTAGGAAAAGAACTAGATAACTTTGAAATTAGAGTTACGAAATTTTCAAAGATTTTTTTTTTACTGCACGTTTGGTACGGTGGCTGAGCAACTGGCTGCCGCGCAACGTATAGCGGGTACGATTAGTGCACGGAACAACTCTTGTGATCCACAGATTGTTATTCCGGGTCTGGGTGTGATGTGTATGTGAACTTGTATGTTTGTAAACGCACCCACGACACTAGAGAAAATCCTAGTGCGCAGCAACGTATTCCTTAAAAAAAAGAATACTGTTAAATGAAAATAACTCTACTGTTACTCTCATTGCGTTCGTAAAATAGATAGCCTCCCGTTGCCAGCCTGAATCACCCTTTGCGAAATGTAAATTCAAATGGCGCGGCCAAAGCAAACAGTGCGTAGTCAGTATGCGCGCACAGTGGGCTGCCACCACTCGCTCCTGAACAAAGTTTAGCTGTTAACTTACGCCAAACGACCGACGTATCCCATTGCGTAGTCTAATTAATTTTGTTTAGCACTGTCGTATCATTCAGGATTGTTCAGAAGGTGAGCAGTTAAAATGGTTGATGAAGATGCGAACAGGCCCCTAAATTAATGCCCACTATTCCTGTCCGTACCTAGTTTCAACAATATAGCCAACTTAATTGAGGTTACAGCGAAAATTACACTACGCGAGTGAATCCCAACATACTTGTTTTACTAAGAGAAGGTTAGCGCTCGAATACTGAAAGGCTACTCAATTTGAAGTTGTACTAAAATGTCGTGCCATCTCTATTATTTTCAAAGAATTTGTAGTGACAGAACTATACTTAAAATTGAGTGACGTTTGAGTATTTCAGCGTAAGTTTCGTCAAATGAGACACCTATAATACATAAATATTGGTTTTTAAAATCGCTATTTTTCGAAATGTAATTCTATACTAATTCTAAAATGGATCGCGTCATAATCTTTCTCTCTCGTCAACGAAATTAAAATGTAAATCTATCTTAAACGGATTCTATATTTAGTAGATCAACAAGGGCTCAATCTTTTACTAATCGCATAAAACAGGGACCAAGATTGAAAACAAACATTTGTTATGACTATAATAGAATTAAATGTGCGAGTTTATGTACACCGCGGTAATGGGATGTCGTCAAACTTTTACAACACCGTAAGAAGGACGTTAACTTGTATTATTGTTATTTTATTTGTATTTACTTTTCTTTTTACTTGTAATGGACGGTTTCAATGATCTTTGACGATAATAATTCTGGTTTTATGGAGTAAACTAGATCATCCCTCGTTATTGACATACAATTCTCTTTAAATCGCTTGAAAACACATTCCACAACGAATAGTATTCCACCATTAATAATAATATTGTTGAAATGTTCAAAGTTAATGTTACCTTCATTCCTTGCACTATGTCAAATACCATCGTATTGTGAAAGTATCCTGGAAATGAAATATCTAACCGATACAGCTCACACAGGAGTACTGCACTTGGCATCACGTAACAACTGTACTGCAGAACTATTTCCCTCACTGTACACCGTGCACCTCATTTGTAGCACAATTTTGGCCAGGAGACACGCGCGTTCGAGCACTGTGTGTTGAACTTTTTTAATGTTGTCTACATTTTGGTGGAAGTCAGTCTCTAGTCTCTAGTCTCTAGGGTCTCTTTATGTTAGGTTTAGAAGGTATTTAGTAAACGTTTAAATGTTAAACTGTTTAGTAAAATAGTATCAAGCAGCTAAGGATTCAGTTCGGTTAAATATTTAGTTATAACAGTTTTAACTAAATTTTTCTAAGTGAGATCTGTTTTAATGATCTTACGTTAAACAATAACAAAGACTGTGTTTTGTATCAAAACTATCATTTTAATTAGCCCAAGTGCTCCGCAAGGCCGACAGTCAGACAGATCTCAAAATACATTTTCATTATAATATTCATATTTCTAACTCAGCACATCGGCTCATTTCCACAAGACTCGCCCTTTTCGCTATTATTTATAAACCGAATCATATTGTATACCTGTTAAGGTTGAAAATTCATTGCAATTCAGTTTTGAAATGCATGATATTTAATTCATAAAAGTCGTGCATGTGTATGAGATTGCTTCTAATGTTTGTGTTGAAGTATTATTTGTTTGAATTCACAATGTTTGTGCGCAAAATGGCGGCGCATTCGAAGGAAATAAGATAATTGCAGGTAGACCTGGTTTAGGAACTAGCGAGCTTGTAGGAAGGATGTGCATCAATTCGGTTACGTGTGGAAGTGGCTCCACTTGCGAGTGTGTTGATGTGGGTTCATGGCAAACGTAGGTTTCCTCAGAAAATATATTTTCAGTACAATTTGGCGAAATACACATAAAACCATAACAATAAATGACTTCTTTTTATAAATCCTGCGAGAGGCGGCTGACACGGTGAGAGCACTCAGACAGATTGCGTGAGATAACTAGTCCATTAAGACGTCAAACAATTCCAAGTGAGCGACCACTCGAGCCACACATTAACATTTACCTACAAATGGCGACGAACACTTGTTCAAAAGCAATTTATTTCCAACTTATTCCATATTTACTTATCCATGGCTTCATCTACAAGATAACGGTACTCACAAATCTCTACGTCTCGTCAAATCTCGAACGAAAATCTCTTTTAGAATACATCGCCGGTTTTCTTCAATAACATTACTGAAGATGTGCCTCTATAATGCGATGGAAAACAAACTTTGACGGTTCGTGTATTTACGATATTGAAATATCTACAGCATCTACATAGCGAGGATCTGAAATTGTGAATAGATATTAATATAGACATGTTTTAGTTTGACAAACCGTTCCCTTTGAGCGCTGCTTATAACAAATGTATGTATGTTGATAAAAATGTATCATACATATGGGAGTTGTAGTAATATGTTGTTTGTGTTGCGTATCCTTGTAATGCTTTCGTTAAGAATGTGTTGTGAATATTTGGTTATGAGGGCGTCGGGTAATATATTGGCAATACGAGGGCAGCGACACATTCTTTGCGGTCTTTGCTGTATTACATTCCTATATCCGTTCTTAATATTTCACCTACAAAACGAAATATGTTGTTCAAAGTTCTATTTCTTTTTCTTTTTCTTTTCATCTAATTACCGTGTTATATCAAAACACACGTTATCAGTCGGCCACAGTTCCAGAGTTTAAGTAATTAATTAATGTAAGTAGGTCTGTGTTGTGAAAGATACACGAGGCGAGGACGGCCACAAACGTACAGATGTAAATATAAACTGTTTATTTAAAAGAGAAGCCTTAAGATGTGATGTACTGTATGTAGATAAGAAATGAAGCAAATTACGCTAATGGCTTCTACCGAAGATGTTGGGCTGTACATGTATACAGAATATTATGAATAGTGGAAGTAGATCCATGTCAAACATTTATTATGATAATGTTGTGTAGCTTTCATTTAATGAGATACATATAAACTCAGTTTTTGTACGTACTACAAAAGGACTCTAGACTTTTAAATATGTAGAAAGCTGAAGGAGCAAAGGGTATATGGAAACAACAATACGGGTCGGGTACGGTATGAATAATACTCTAGCTAAGATGTGAAAGTGATATTAACAAGAACCGGCCAATTTTAATGAAACAAAGTACGTTAAATGACATCAATTGGTTTATCAATTTTAGGTATACTAAAGAAGAAGATATACTTACTTGTTATTATATTGTTAAATTTACTAAAAATCGCGGATTACTCACGTGAAAGTACTGAGAAAAGCTCAACTAGTTTCGAACCACAGAGGGGTTCTTCCTCATGAGCAGCGTGCTCGGTATGCGCGATTTGTAAAGGATATATGTATTTGCATAAAAATCATTGGATTTTATTGACCAGCCTCTCAGTCTACTTATATCTACCGTACGTGGCTGCCGTATTGTTCGGTCAGAGGGTGGGTTTGGGTGCCTGTTATTAAAGTTAAGATGAATACAATAGAACAAAAGTTATAATCTTGCTTTCAACAAACATTCTAGAGTTTTAAATAGTGTATCTAGGTTTATTAACAAAGATATTTAATTTCTTGTTTCTTTGTACAGTGACAGCACTCCGGGAGCACTGGGACGAGGCCAATGCCCGCGTGCTGCAGCGCAAGGCGCAGCTGGACGCCATGCTGGGCGACTCGCAGCGGTACGAGGCGCGGCGCCGCGACGCCGACGCCTGGCTGTCGCGCATGGAGGCCCGCCTGGCAGCCATGCAGCCGCCTGCGAACACTGCCGATGTACTGGAGATGCAGCTGCGGGAACAGAAGGTAATATTTGTTACTTATTATAATTTGTTTAAGGTAATGTAAATTCAACGGAAAAAAAATATTGGTAGGTACAGCGTATAGACCGCCGTGGCTTAATCTGGGTGGATTCTTGGATGGCATAACTGACAGCATCACTGCATTGGCTCCTTACGACAATGTTATATTGTTGGGGGACTTCAATGTCAATTTATTAAATAAAGACCACAAGACGGCCACCTTGACTGATTTTATAAACTACACCCAGATGAATCAAGTGGTACAGACGCCAACGCATTTCGTGGGAGAAAGTGGTACCCTAATAGATGTTGTGTGCACAGACATAAAAGTGCGCAATGTTGTTGTGAGTCATATCAGTGAGCTCGGAAATCACTCTTTTATTACTTGTGAGGCTGTGATCAAGACGGAGAAGACTAAACCCAGAATTGTAGCTTATAGACCGCTTAAGGATATATTAGTGGACAACTTTAATGCAGACTTGGAATCTATAGATTGGATGGGGATGAGTGGCTCGAGTGATGTAAATGGTATGGTTTCACTATTCATATATGCTACCAATCAGCTCTATGACCTCCATGCTCCCATAAAAACTAAAATGTTTAGAGGCTACCCTACTCCATGGATCACTGACAATATCAAACTGTTGTTCAAGTTGAGAAATGAGGCACGAGTGAAATTCCACACTTTAAGAAAAAACCAATGTAGTGAAGAAACTGTTGAGTCTGCCAGGAGATACTATGTGGACCTCAAAAACCAAGCATCATTTGCACTGGCCCGGGAGAAAGAAGTATATTTCTCCAAGGATATCAACAGGAATCTTAAGAACCCCAAAGTTTTATGGAGGAACCTAAAGACACGAGTCCTGCCTGACCATGGGAACTGCGGGCTCCCGGGTCACTTTGATGACCCGAACAGCATTAATAGAGCCTTTCTTGATGTTCCGGGATCGTGTAGTGTCTCAATGTCTCGGCTGACATTCTTTGAGTTCAGCAGATTCAGTGCTGATGAATCTCAGTTCGTGCTCAGAAGTGTCAGCCAGGCGGATGTTCTGAAAGCATTGCAGGATCTTGGAACAAATGCAACAGGCACTGATGGACTTGGTTTGGATATGCTGAGATTGACACTACCACACACGCTTCAGATTATCACAGCCATAGTCAATACATCAATAAAAACCAACACATTCCCTGAGGCATGGAAGTGTGCTGTGGTGCGGCCTATACCAAAAAACAGCAATCCAAACTCCTTCAAGGACCTTCGCCCCATCAGTATACTGCCGTGTCTGTCAAAAGTTTTGGAGAGGGTGGTATATAATCAGACAATCAAATATCTGGAGGACAACAACATATTGCCCGAGATGCAATCGGGTTTCAGAAAGTGTCGTGGGACTGCAACGGCACTGGCTGATGTTATAGGCAACATACTGGAGGCTCGTGACGGGGGTGAGGGGACGATATTGGTGCTCCTTGATTTTTCCCGGGCCTTTGACTCGATAAACACCACTTTACTGCTTTCCAAGATGGCTTACTATGGATTCGCGATGGAAACAATAAAGTGGTTTGGAAGCTACTTGAACAATAGGTCCCAACTTGTTGAAATCCGTAAAGAGGACGGAACGGTCGTGTCGTCTCTTCCACTACCTGTCGCGCGCGGCGTGCCTCAGGGCTCAATTTTGGGACCGCTTCTGTACATTCTCTACAGTGCCGATATTGTAGACTCAATTAAACATTGCAAGTACCATATGTATGCGGATGATATTCAGCTGTACATGTCTTGTAAACCTGCAGACGTCTCGTTGGCTGTGCAGAATATTAATGCTGATTTGCAAAACGTTTTTACTTGGTCGGAGGACAACTGCCTGGTACTGAATCCGGTGAAATCCAAATATATGGTCTTGGGAAGTAAGAGGACAGTCAGTGTTATGCTGTCTGCTGGGCCAGTGGTTACAATAAACAATGAAAATATAGAAATGGTAGACACGGCAACCAATTTGGGTCTCACTATGGATCCAGAGCTACACTTTGAGAAGCACGTATTAAATAGTACAAGGAACTGTTTTTATAGACTAAAAACTCTATACTGCTTTAGGAAATACTTGAGTGTAGCTCTGCGCAAACAACTTGTGGATAGTCTGGTCCTATCAAGACTGAACTACTGTGACACAGTTTATGGTCCATGCTTGCTAGCAAAAACAAACAGATTGGTGCAGCGTGTTCAAAATGCTTGCATAAGATACTGTGTGGACATACCACGAAGAAGCCATGTCACCCCTTTTGCGAATCGAAACAATATTTTAAAAATGGAAGCTCGGAGACGTTTGCACCTGGCAGGCCTATTGTTTGGAGTTATTACTACCCAAAAGCCACGGTACCTGTATGAGAAATTACAGTGGAGACAGCATAGTTCAATAAACCACATACGCTCAACTACAAATCCACTATCCATCCCTCAGCACAGAACAGCGGCCTTCAGGGGGAGCTTCAAATATGCTGCGACTCACTGTTGGAACAACCTGCCACCACCAATGCGAGGCCTGAAAACCAAAAAACACTTTTTACAACAGTTGAAGAATTTACTGTTAAACACACAAAAACGTACATAGATTACACACACTACATACATAACACATACAATTCACTACTCACCTCAAGGGTCGCGGCCTTCCAACATGGTGATGCACAGGTATCCAACAGGTTGTTGTTCGTAGCTGCAGCCTCCCCCATCATTTATGGTCAATATAGGTATATCTGTATTTTACAGGTCATGCCGGCTACTTGCTGTAAATGCAAAACACACAATTCATATCACACTCACACACGGTACACTACTGCTTTAATAGCAACAATTCACGTCACTACATTTACCAAGTTAAGTGAATCATGGTCTGCACTCACATCATTTCGTTGTTTTGTTGTTTTGCATTCTTGTTCGCTGGCGATTAGTGAAGCTGGCGGGACGCCATTACGTCACCCAAGGAGATGCTGAAAATCAGCGCTGCGACGCTAACCTCTTGAGGTTTAAGTCGCAGAAATTGCTGAGCATTATCCTGTTTTTGCGCACGCATACATGACGCACAATATTATGACCACAGAGCATGTAACAATGGCATGGGCAGTGTTTCCTTGTCTATGGTCCACAGATAATGTTAGATATTAAATATTCTATCATTTCAGTAAAATAATAAGTCTGTGGACCATGGACAAGATCTCACTTCATTTTAATTTTTTAGCTTTTTTTGTTTTCTTTTTATTTTTTAAATAATTATGTTATGTGTGTTTTGCGCAGAAATAAATGGTTTTTCTTTCTTTCTTTCTTTCTTTCTAATGTGCTCCAGTTCATTATGGTTTTGCTTTGTGTGATCTTTCCGCACACTCGACGTTCTGTTTGTACTGGTTTTACATAACATGATATGTAGTCGTATGTACATATTATCATGTTATGTAAAACCATACATACATATTATATAAGTAATTTGAGTGAATAGGTTGCATAGAGGCAGGGCTGCTTCACTCAAAGGTTGCCCAGCAAGAACGTTGATTACACATTAAATTGTCCAACTGAAAGCATATCTTCATACTTCACTAACACAAGCCTCCATCTTCAAGTCCCCACATGGTGGCCAGCAACGATGTAAATTAACATTTTTATAATAAAAAGGTGATAAAATTGCAAAGCGTGAGTCGCGCCGCTCGTACTTTGTATTAGGTTTGTGGACGTGACCTGCACTGTAAGCTGGCACCGTCTGCGTGCCGTGTGTGTAGTCGGGGGCTGGAGGACGAGCGGTGCTGTCTGCTGCTCGTAATGTCCTTTTTGAAATACAGTTTGCTTAATGACGACTTAGTGTTGTGTAAGAAATGCTTGTAGGACAATAAAGAACATCTTTGGTTGACTAAGGGTTAAATAATAAATATGTAATTCTTATCTGAAGAATAAAATTTAACATTATACAGTTTGGCCTTTAGTTAAATCAGCCCCACGGACATTATATTCCTATGCAGGGCCCTATTTTTGAGTGAGACATAGTATTATTCTTTTTTCTATTTTAATGTTCTTAGTATAATCCAAAAATAAGACGGTGTTTGGCAATACTTTCGTTCCCCGTTGCTGTAACGTTACTAAGTTATTGCCGACACAATATAGGTAGGTACTATTGGTTTTCATGCTACTGGAACAGAAGAAGTCATGTTAAATTCATGAACCATGATTTGTAATCTCATATCGTTTTCCTTCATAATCCGAACCTTATCTTAGAAATCAAGATCAGTATTCTATTACACGACTGAACAGTTGCTGATTACTTGTCAGCCTCTATTGTGTGTCGCAACATGTAACGTGTATCGTGTCACATTGAGGTGTGACGTCACTATGTCTTGTGTTCGTGAAGTCTGTCTGTATCATTTCGCACATAGGCACATAATATTTCATAAGACTCCCAGTAGGTCAGCCTAAACCTACCTTTTTTTCTTTATTTGATTTTCGACTTTGCTGTTTTGATATAAAGTCGAAAGTTAAAATATTGACAGATTGTAGTAGGTTGATCAGAATCAGAATCAAAATCACAATCAGAATCATTTATTTGTTAAACATAGGTAGTTTACATAATAAGGTCTTACATATAAAGTCTTACATGTAAAGGCAAAACATAGTGGACTATCCACTATGTTTTGCCGTGATAGACATACAAATATATTAGGTACATACATTTGAAACATCATTAGAATATTACAATTTGAGTTATAATAATAATTTAATAATAAATTAAGTATGTCAGAATTATGTCAATTAAAATTGTAAAATTGATTTGCTGGCACACTGTATGTGTCTGTTTGTTTATACGTATGTACGTTGTACTGAATGGACATTATACTGTCAAATCTTCTCGGATGAGCCAGTAGCCTGCAGCATGTGCCGTGTACCTGTCGGCAGGCATTATAGCTTGTATGCCTCGAGGCTCTCGTACTGTCTGCTAGGAATAATAGACAACACAGTTCTATTCAAACTGATTTAGTTCGAAGTTAGATTGATAGATATGTAATTACTTATGAAAGTGTTATTCGTTTTGTTAAATGCATTATTTAAAGCTCAGTAATGTTCTTTATTGGTCCATTTCTTAGGTTGAACTATAGTTCTTATTTTGGAATATACTAGTAGTACAAACCTTGGAGGTATCACTCAGAAAACGAAAAAGAAATAACACATTTGTGTGTCTAAAGGTGGGTGTATATCAAAGCTTATCTATCTACTTGTAGTAGCGTAAAAATAGCTCATTGCTATGTATTATGTTTCATAAAACCATTGATATAGGGAACACAATACTACTATAAACGGAGCCAATAACAACGACTCGGAGAAATGACATGAGTCGGAAACTCGGCGGTACACGACCGACGCGGTATTTTCTCGTTCATTCATTCCATTCATTCGTTCATCCGTTCACTCGAGATCTGATTCTCGATACATGAATCCGTTAATGAAAGCAATTCAGCGTCGTGTCGTGACATGGTCGTGTAATATGAAGTATTCAGATTCCGGGGACTGGCCTGTTTTAGAAAATGCCTTTAAATTGATTTTAAATGACAAGAAAGTTTTGTTTGAAGTTTTTTGTTTAAACGCTTTGTATGCGGCTATGTTGGCTTTATCAAGGTAAATTATGTGGCAATTTTGTTAAAGAAATAATAATGAACTTTTTAGGTTTTAATTATACTTGTCTAGCTATACTAAACAAAGATGTCACTCTTAATTTACTCCAATGCCAAATGTTTCATCTTCAGAGCTTGCCATTCAACAATGTACACTAATTAAGCTGGTCTCCGTATAATATTACCAAAGTTTAACACTAACAGAGTGAGTGTCAACACTCTGGCTCAGTAACTGTCCCCTCCACAGCGCTAACAAAACAAAAACTCGCAATAATATAATTTTCTTGTGGAGGAAATCAGCAAAAATATGAACGAAGTGGTTAGCGCCGACGACGACGGAAACTTTGTACATTTGCATAATTACTCCCGACGAGTTTATACACACACACACACACATAGACATATATCTATACATGTACACGTCTCAGTTACAAACACACCAAGTTATGAGTAAGACGGCACAACTTTTAAGCGACTTTGCACCTTAAGCCATTTACTTTAAGATTTCGATTTTTACAAAAGTTAAGAAACTGCTAAACTGAGTTGATATCGACATGGGTGTCCTTTTAAAAACAATAGGTAGAATGTGAACCCATGAATAATGTAGAGGCCAAATAGGCTGCATACAAAGTTCCTTTTCTCGAAGTTTTCGTAACTGGGTTGGGGGTCGAAACTGATAGAAGTTCCTCTTCGGGCTGAAAGTTAAGAAACATAACGTATCATCATGCTTTTTATCCCCTACGGGTAAGTAGCAGTACACAGCCGTAGGTAAATAGGAAAATGTAACACTTTTTGCCAATTATGTGCCATGCAATATTGGGGGTGACAATATTGCACATTGGGGAGAATTCCAGATTATGTGTCTAAAGAAAACTAAAAAAAAAACAATCAACTTTGTGATATCCCACAGTATCTTGCTCGACATGGGAAACCGATAACATTGTACTGCAAGACTAAGGGCCGATTTTTCAATCATCAGTTTATTTTCCACTGTAGAATAAAATTGACATTTGACAGTTTTTAGTACGGTAGAAATGTCAAATGTTCAAAGTCATTCTTCACTTAACATTTATGTGGAAAAAACGCCATAGTGAGAGATAATCAATAAATGTTACGTAGTCAGTGAAACTTTAAGCATCTACTATTGTATTATATTTCCAAACTATACCAAATACTTTCATAGTTTTTTCCTACACATTACTAAAGCTCTTAAAGTATGGCTTCCTGACCGCATAAGTTACGGGTAGTAGCAGAAGTTGCTCGTATGCGCGCCATAAATCCCTGTTAATTGGGATCCGGCCGCGAAAGCCTTTAATATTCCACTTTGCATGGAACCTAACTTGCCTGTACTTTATATGTAGTGAAGGCAACTCTTAGATATTGGACTATTGTTTTATCTTCGCTAGTAATAGTTTAGATTTCGCTAGATATTAAAATGATTTGCTAATTTTGAGTTCCGTAGATATTGTAGCGAATCTTACAGATTCTATGTTATTAACTATCTTGAGATTTTATGAAATACAAATTAAATCTAACCCTACAACTCGCGATATCTTTATTATCCTATGAGCAATATAAAAAACATTTTTTCCATACACAACGTACAAAAACATGCCGTGACGCCTCCGCGATTTAATTTTCAACGAAATTAATGTTAATGTTATTAAAGCAATTTAATAACATTAAGTACGGTTATCTCTGTGCCCTATCTTTATTGCTACGACCAAAGACATTTGTACCAACCACACTTTAATGTACCGCCATCTATCACAGGGAGAATGAAACTCTTGATTAAACTTCTGCAGGCATCCACTAGATGGCATTACTCTACCAATCTTTTCTCTTAGAACTTTAACTAATATTTAATATGTTTCTAATTGTTATTCTTTGTCTACAGTCATTCCACGCTGAAGTGCATCAATACAAACATCAGATTGAACTATTTGGTCAGCTGACACAGCGCCTCATTGCGGTGTATCGCAATGACGATACAACTCGCATCAAACGTTCCACTGAGGCTATCAACCATAGATACAATGAGCTGAACAACAGGTATCATCATTTACAGTATTCTTTATTACAACGTTAATAATATAAATAGAATAGTTAGGATTCGGCAAGGGTTCACATACGCCATCTGTACGTAGCGGGTTGATTTTCAGTAAAGCGACATCTGTTATATTTCTATCGAACTGTTCTGGTTCTGAGGGTTGTGTCTCCTCCCTCGTGACTGTACTTCTCATAAACCAGTAACTGTCACGTCCTCTACCTTAATTTGAACTTTATGGAATTAAAATATGCTAAAATAATAATAAAATATTATCCAAAAAATACTAGTTAGGGTTGTTTTTCTATTTAGTACAATGGAACGTAAATTAATTAAACATTAAAATATTCTGCAAGGTTCATATAAACTCATAAATATTCTATTTAGCATAAGAATTCATGAATATTTTATTCACAAAGTTTTGATTAAAATAATAAATTTAATTAAAATCACAACTTAAATGTTTGAACCATAAAGTTTTATAATTATGACCTCATTAATTTTCGTACAAATGTTCATTATGATATTTATTTCATCAGTAGTTTTTGAAATTACTACGTCAATGGACTTTTTTTTTAATTTATGTTTTTTCCCAGCATTGTCGCTCGAGGCAAAGCGTTGCATTCAGCTGTATCATCGCTGCAGAACTTCGACCGTTCGCTGGAGAAATTTGTTGCTTGGCTGAGCGAGGCGGAGTCGTTGCTGGACGCTGCGGAGCGAGATCCCCATCTGTTAAAGGTAAGCAAATTTAAATGAATGATCATAATATAATTTACATGTCAAGAAACATCAGTAAAACATCGCAGTAGCTCGACAAATACTTTGTATTGCGCCATCTGTCGCAAGTTGTGTGAACTGAGAGAGGTATTAGCATAGTGTAAGTTCATTTACCGCCCGCTGGGAGGCGTTACATGCAACATAGGGAAGTAGCTTTGTTGAATGCACGAACCAAAGTTCTACAGGAGGAGGTTTTCGATCCTCAAGTTATAGCGCCATCTATGAAAAATTGCAGATATTACATTGAATAGGGGTAGTCAAGAGAGGGTCCATTTTGTTCGTGTGCGACGGAGGTCGCTGGCTACACTGTATTTAGTATTTATGTCCAGTACTTAAAGTGATGATTTAAAAAACGGGTACATTAACTCGTCGAGTACCGGTTTTGTAGACACAATTATAGAACAATAGGTTGCGGTCACCGGTGATCGCTTGGTGTTTGACAGTTTAATCTAGTATCACTATTTATACACTTTAAATAAAATACTAACTTCAGAAATACATAGATGCCTCTTAGCCTGTTTACGTTGCAAATCAATAGATACCAATCACTTTGTCCCGTTTTTGAATGAAGTAAATTTTTCCTAAATAACTATTGTTCTCATAATAACGAAAACCTTAAATTAAATACATTTTATTAAGTCATTTTGAGACTTCTAACTTTGTCCTGTCCTCATATAAAAGAGGAAGTCAGAACATTAAAAATCATTTCAGAATATAATCCGAAGCGAGATGGAAGTTAGACAAAGTCACAAACGCAAGAACATAATAAGTTTATTTCAAGTAATTTATAAGGCAACGTGATCCAGTTTGTTGTCGCTAAGAATAATCTAATCCGGGCACAAACGGGGCACAAGCGAATTTAATTCAATTCTATTTCTCTGACAAGTTTGCCCTTTGCTTTAGAATCGCCAGAAATAATTATATTAGCAACATTTTGGAGTATGTTGCGAGTACACGCCGCTGTGTGAGAGATCAGTGAAACAAGTTGATGTGGCCTCTGAAAGATGTACCTGCTTCTCTTATCGTTTAGTATTTTGTTTTCAAACTAACGTTAGTTTTAGATTAGTACATGAACTGTAAACGTAAAGTACACGACAGTGACTTTGTGTTCATTATTTAATGTGGAAAGTCCAAACCCCATACACTAGTAATCAAATCCCGTAATACAACTTCTGTCATTCCCTTGTTTAGTGCTGGAAACGCGCGGAATGTGTTGTGACGAAAACTTCCCTCAATTCCGGGAACTTCCCCCAAGAATCTCGGGGTATGTTGTATACTGCGGGGTTACGGGCAACCCCACGTGTTTTAATTCACCATAGCGCGTTAATGGAAGAGTTGCCTTTGATTACTTAAGCGGTTTAAGGCGGTGTACGTATGTTTATTGAGATTATTCGTCGACTGTAAATATTTTGAATCTTTGTTGGGCTTTGAATACTTCCGTATTTTTAAGTTAGTACATTTTTTTGTGATGATTTCTTAGTAATATTTCACCACTATCCACTTTAGATACAATCATGTATATGTCAAAACTAATGCAACAATAACCAAATATAATTTCATTTTCCATTACTCATCCACTGTCTACACTTTCCGAATTGTGATTATGATACAATTCATACATAGCAGTTGTTTTTGCAGACTACGAAGTATTCGTAGCCGTTGCTCGTAGTCCGTAGCTGAGCGCTACGGCGTAGCGGAGATTAGTTTTCCTTTGAGCTTCCTTGTAATTCGTAGTTTCGTGCTACGTGGAAATGTTTGGCATATTTTTATACAAACATCATCAAAACAGGACGCAGTATTCTGATACAGAGAATGGATATGAAAAAAAAAACACAAAAATGTTAAAAAAAAATAAGTTACGATAAGTTCAACTTCTCTATCAAGTAATGTATTCACGACTGATTTATTTATTATTACAGTTAGTTCATCGAATAAAAGAAATTATTTTATTATATGTATAATTTAAGTAGACAGCCAACATTAGCGCTCCGCATATAAAGGCGTGTAGGTACCTTTCCTTCAGTAATCCAAGTTACAAACATATTAAAGCTGCGATGAGCTTTCATCACTGAAATGAAACCTCGCATCGCGAACATCCTTGAAAATTTTAATAAGCCTACTATGAATGAGAAAAATTGCGAATCGGGATATATTCCTGTAATAAGCAGCTTTTCAGTTCAAGGCAGGTTTGAGCCTGAAATATTCTTTGAAATTATTTACATGTTGTATTTATTCAACACATTTAGAATCTTATCTTTTGATAGACGTTTTCAATTTTGAGTTTAGTAATAACATAGAGCTTATGATTTCACCCTTTTTTCTTGCACCTCTTAGAGTAGTAGTCCCAGTTGTAAAAACTCTTTCTATTTCACAATGTAGTTACTTTTTATCAATAAGACCATGTAAATAGTCGTATGCTAAAAAGATCACAAGCCACAAACGATCTGCTGAACATAGGCGTCCAAATCGATCGACGGGTTCTGAGTATATTGACTGAGTAACTGGCTACGTTATCTATCAAAATATTATCGTTGATTATGCGAGGTGTCTGAAAATAAGTAAACGATGTATTGTGAAAGTTTCCTCTTTACTGAACAATATATTTATTAGCGAAGCAATCAAACTGCGGCTTATCGCCAACTTTCCTAGTTTTAAATTGTTCGCTCGACTTTATTAACTTTAGCTCGCAGCTCTCACAGCTCGCTGGCTGCTTTTATTTTACGTGAAATATTTTTATTATTATAACGCAAGTTTTCAAGTCATATTTTATGAAAATTAATGGGTGTTGGATCGACATCTAGGCATTGATTACTGTTTTACTGATATCATATTTAATGATGAGCTAATATACTCACGCGTGTCAATATACATATATCTCGTTATAATAAAATATTGATTTAATAGTAAATAGCTAATTTATGGCCTTTAAATTATTTATAACATACACCTGATTGATTTTTTGATCTCCGTATGTTCTGTTTACTGATTTTAAATCTTTTCCTTGTCTATTTCAGGTAAGTTACATTTAAAGTCGCAGTCAAATCGGTATGTAATACAAAATGAATTTATTTCAACCTTCGACGGCCGAAAATACTTGTAATGTTGAAAACATCAAAATGTCGGTAATGTCAACAATGTGACTTTCAAACAAGTGAAACAAGACGCGGGAGGCACTCGAGGAGGTTTTATTAAAGCCTTAAACAAACGACCAGCGATGGAATGTGGATGTACTTAGGAAGATATAAGTGGGCCTTTGTCCGCTATTCGATAAAAATATTTGTTTGACGATCCAAACATTTCGCGGAATTATCTTTCGTATAAAGAGACTTTTTATTTTCAGTTGTCAACAAAATTATGAACGAGGCTTTACTTTCTGATCTGATCCGTTTGTAAATACAAGTTTATTTCTTGAGAAAAATCTCACCGTCACTGATAAGTTATGAAACTCTCAGCAAACAGGCTGTAACAGTCCGGAAAGAGCTGCGATGAATAACTCGATAGCATCTAGTAAATGTTGATCAAAAATACTCTTACACCGCACTACGAATACAAATCGTAGTACGCTACGCCGTAGACGGCTACATCTATCACGCTACGCCGTAGAGCCCAAAACAAACTAAGAATATCTGAGAAATAGCTTAAACAAAATATACCAGATGAACATAATCCATGACCAATTATTAAAATATAAGAACCAATAAATCCTCAATAATTTTGTCTCTATATTTTCTTTTGAGATCAAATAAATAAAGTTGATATGTTGTCATCGGTAACTTAAAGATTTCGGTGGTTTTTGTCGAAATAATACAATAGTTTATGGCGTATTACTATTAGAAATTGTTTAGAGGAAGACAGAACCTACAGTTGTCTATTTGGTTTATATCATTTTATTAAGGGTTTATTATTACTTTCTTTTCATCCTCCCATTGTCTAAACTAGATCACGTCCTATCTACACTGTTAAAAACAACATCTATAAGAAAAAAATTACCAAAAGAGATGAAATCGATACACATACTCATTTTACACACACGGTGTATTTATGAACAGTCGTTCTATTTACTTGTTCTTTAATAAATATCAGAGTTCATTACCTCATAAATATTTGTGAAGGGAACTCCTTCGGTTTCAGGCGTTTCAGCCTAGTTCTGTCAGGCTCCGTTCTAAGGTTTCAGTTTTTTGTCCGTAAACTGAAACTTATTGCTTCAATTATTTCCGACAGACATTTTGTTTGAGAAGTGTTTTAGGAAACGAGGTCGATGTTTCAGGCTGGTTCATTTCTCACATAGATTAGTATGTAGTACCTATTTACTGTAGATTACACGGTATGTATACAACCATCTACATTCATTTTTATCACGAAATTATGTACACTGAGTACAACAGCCCACAAAGTATTAAAAGAACTTAAAGTAATTAAGACTAAATTAGTAATATAAAAATATCGCTGAACACTACGTGTGTTCAGCGATATTGTTTACAGGCAAAATGGCCGCCACATACATAGGGGCAGTTTGCCGACCATTGTGTACGAATACTGTTTAGGATCACCATTGAGCCTCTGTCAGCTATCAGCCCGTATAATGTGCTATCTAGACCTAGGTCATACACGCGATGTACTAACAAACGGAATTATACTCTTTATGATAATTTTTTCCCATTGAGTAAAGGGATAGTGACCAGAAAGTGCTTTGTGAAATTAAAATTAGTTTTTAGTAAGACTATGGTAATTAAAATGAGGTTTTCACACTTAGTGCTTTAGTACATAGTATTAGCGCTTAGTACAATAACAGATACAATAACAGTTAAGTTAATCGTTAGAACATAGCAATATTACATAATATTATAAAGTCGACGGACAATTAAGCGCACGCTCTAACACCGCACCCTGCGATATACATAAAACATAAACAGGCATATAATAAGGCGTCGCTCGCACGCGCGTCTTGTCGTGCGTGCGTC